CGAGGACATAACAGCTATACATGCAAGTACTGAGATGTTGGGAACTTTCCATCTCCCTGAATAGGGGCAAGATAACCCTTAGGTGTTGACTCAGTTACTGATGTTCTGACTTAGTCCCTAGGAAAGGGGCAAAGTGACCCTCAGAAGTGTCCCTTTACGTCATCTGATCTGGCAACCACTCTCCAGCCAATTATTGGTAATAGCCTTTTTGAATAAGCCAATCATAATAGTTAAAGGACAACCCCCAGACACCCCTTCCCTGTGTGGTTTTTCCCTTTAAAAATAGCCTGTACCAGACATTCAGGGTCTTCTAGCCTCCCGACTGCTGGAGGACCCTGTCATGACAGAATTAATAAAATCCTCATGCTTTTACATCAGCTGTGATGTGAGAGATGGTCTCTTGGGGAGACTCCTCCTCCTCCGTGATAGGACGCTAGGTTCCAACAGCTTTAGAATGGAAAGGAACCAAAAACCAAAGATGGATTTTGGTCCAGATTAAGTTTATACTGTTACACCCAAAGTTCAGAACTTCAAAATACCATCATGGGACCAAATTCAATGCAAAAGCAAAGAATCATTATTGTGAGTTAGCTCAGGACCCTCTGTTAGTCTGAAGTGGCAGCAGCAGTAATAGCAGCAACAGTAGCAGAGCAGGAGAGACCCCAAGTGGTGTAGGGGAACGGTTTTTTTATAGAGGGGAAAGCTTGGGTAGGAATTGGCTGTCGCTACCCATGGGGTGAGGAGATTTTCTAAGTTTACAGGTTTCAGATTGGCTGACCCCTCTGGGCTAAGGTTCGAAAAATTCATGGTACATCTCTAGGTTAAGGGCTACTACCTCCCTAGGCTTAAGATCTATGGGGAGTCATGTTACTAGACTAGAAGTTACTACTTCCCTACTCAGAGATTGGTCGTTTTTTCCTGGTCAGGCACTGGTTGGTTTCTTGTCAGGGGCAGAGATGGCTCTCTGATTTCAGGACCAAACTGTGATTCCTTTTCTGATGCTTTTTAGCTTTTAGGCTCCAATTTTAGGGTCAGAGCACATTTCTTTAACTGGCCCTGATTCTAGGGAGCAAGTGTGTTTCTTTGGCTTTGGTTTCAGGTTTGGGGTGTTCTTCTGTGACTCTGGGTTCAGGGCTCAGGTTCCAGATCCTGGGTGTATTCCTTTCACTGGCTCTGGGCTCAGAGTCAGGGTGCTCAGCAATTGTGCTAGGGCTATGGATCACAGAACTGTAGGAGCCTGGGTCCTCAATATTACACTTTCTGTTCTTAGTTCCAAATAAGCTTGTATTACAGATCCACTGCCCTGATTCTAGGGGCAAGTGTGTTTCTTTGGCTTTGGTTTCAGGTTTAGGGAGTTCTTCTGTGACTCTGGGTTCAGGGCTCAGGTTCCAGATCCTGGGTGTATTCCTTTCATTGACTCTGGGCTCTGAGCTCAGCAACTGTGCTAGGGCTATGGATCACAGAACTGTAGGAGCCTGGGTCCTCAATATTACACTTTCTGTTCTTAGTTCCAAATAAGCTTGTATTACAGATCTACACAATTCCATCATATATGCTTAGTCTGTACACTGTACCTAAAATCTATCAACAGATATATGACCAATTTAAAAAAATGTAAACGAGGGAACTATTATAGAATTCTGAGGATTCTGGCCTGGCAGAAGTACAATAACTGTTTCAAAGAAAGACAAGAAGCATATAATTATGGACAGTGAGAACCAAAGAACAGTGATGGCAAGATAATGCCAGTTAGTTTGAGAAAGGGATAAAAAGGGCAAGAAAAGTGAATGTAAGGATAATCTGAGTGACCTTAAAAACATATATGGTTTGGTGAAAGTAAAAGGTGGGATAAAATAAAAGAATTTGGGAAATTGGACCTTTTGTGGTTAGTTTCTAAGAGATCATCATTGGGAAAACAATAGTTTTATAGCTGGGATGGTAATAGAAGAAATACTTTGTAACTTAAAATCAAAGGTTTTATGTAATCGGCAAAAATGGCATATAAGCTACTACTCATCAGTTATTCCAGAATACCTTTGTACTAATAACCCTCAACAAGAATTCAAAAGCTTTTTCCCACACAGGAGATCGGAGTGAGCTTCTAAAGCCAATGTGAATTTTGATGCCCTGAACATTTAGTATGTTAGTCTCTGTCTAGTAGTTACCTTCATGAGGTTTCACAACTCAAAACTATGAATGTATAAGAATAATCATAAATGGAGTGAATCCAATTCTTTGAAGACTTTCAGAAGTGAACTCCCCAAAGGACACGTCACCATAAATGTTATAAGTACAATAATAGCTTGGTAATGAGTCATTAATCGGTTGCAAATAAGTAAATGCTAGAAATGGTGCCAGAGAAACACATTTTGCAAGAAAAATTGGAAATTTATCAATTATATTTCAAAATAATAACTCATATGCTATGAATATTGTTGATGCCCTTAATAGCTCCCGAATGAATGTATCAATCCTTTGTTGTATAATACCCCAAAAATTTGTGTGGGCTGACTGCCTCAAATTTAGAGTGGGCTTTTATTGTGATAAACATATTAGCTAAATGAATCTACATTATTAGCTAAATGTGCTTAGATCTGAAATTAGCATATAAAATGAATATAACATAACTAGGAACCGCATTTGAGGGGACTATATTACAAAGGGAGGCAAATGACGTGTGCTAACACAAAATAACTTTGAAAGAAATTTTTCGATAAGATTTTACAATGAAATAACTCTTTTTCCCAGTGTTTGTGACTGAGAAAGCATTTATTTGCTAAACTTGTGAACAGTTCTAAGACTTTAGGGTGACAGTGAGAACATAAAATAGAAGACAGAGGAAAATTTGGCTGTTGGTGGCATAACAGGGTATTTGCATGCAGGGCACTTTTGAGAAAGTAGCACAGAATCAGTGGCTTAAACAACAATACTTATTTTCTCAAAATTGTGAACTTCCTAAGTTTAAATAAAGGGTTTATCTGTATTCAGGGCATTTCTCTCAGCTTCTGAATGTTGGTCTCCCCTTCCAACTTCAGATGACCTTATTTATCTGAGTGTCTCTGTATTCTAATTTCTTATAAGAACTATAATTATATTGGATTAGAACAGATATACATGATTGAATTTGCCTTCATTACCTCTACAAAGGCCCGATCTCCATAAAAGTCACATTCTTAGGTGATAAGTTCTGAGATATCAAAATATAAGTTGATGGAGACATAATTCAGTCCTTAACACTGAGTTCCTAGATTAATATTCACTCCATTTGTCAGGCGGTCCAAAAAATACTCCATTTATTGAAAAAGAAAACCTACTTTATTTGATTTTACTTAAATGTAGTAGAAAGCATCCTCATATAACATCTAATATTATTTCCAGAATTACAGGCTGTGTACCACAAAATATACATAAACTGAAAGTACAGAAAAATGAATCATACCCATAGCATGTATGAAGGCTACCCCAAGTTGTTTATAAGTTGAAATCACAATGACAATAATTTAGAGGTAAAACAAGCCTGTATTTCTTTAAAAACTGGTATTTGGATCTAATGTACACATATATACTATTTTAAAAAAACACGGGTAGTCCCTTGGTGGTGGCAAGTGCCTTAAATACCTGCACTGGGGAGGCAGACACAAGCAGATCTCTCTGAGTTCGAGGCCAGCCTGGTCTATTAGAGCAAATTCCAGGACAGCTAAAACTGTTACACAGAGAAACCCTGTCTTGAAAAACAAAAGCAAAAGAAAGGAAGGAAGGAAAAAGAAAAAACTAAACACACAACAGGTGTGTTTGTCAGTATGTTATTCAAAGAAATTAAGCCTGTGCCTAATGTAATTGAACTGAGTCGCACACTGGGTTTATGTGGCACTGGATATCCATCCACATCATCATAGGCAAAATCATTTTTTGTGAATATTAATAAATGAATACTTATAAATGTGCACATAGTGTATATAATATGATGTATTATTTATGACCAAACTTAGTAAGTTTTGTGTTTGCATGTGAATTTGACAGTGTAAATGAGGGGCACAATTAAGAAACTACTAAGTAAGGAGGGAGGGTTTCGATGGTAGGTAAGAGAGCATCCAGAGGCATCTAAAGAATCCAGAGCAGTGCAAAAAGGAAAGAGACCAGACATAGCCAAGGCTAGGAAAGCAGGGCATGGACCAGGAAGATGAGTAGCTGAGGGTAGGGAACCTGGGATCTGGTGAGGCCTGGCAGTTTAGGATAGATGTGGAAGTGAGGAAGGCCAGGAGCCAGGTGCTTCAACGTGTTTCACAAATCTCTAACTCTAGACTGGCATGGCTTGAAGGCCAGCAAGGACTGTGGGATGCAATCATAGGTGTCTGTCACTGTGGAGCCATTTGACCCTCCAGGCAGAGGCAAAGAAAATGACTCCTTTGAGCTGACAAGCCAGTTTCACTAGTTCCTGAAGAATGTTGACTTTTATCTATCTACCAGAAATCTTGAGTTCAGTTTGAACTTAATTTAGGCGCAATTTTGGACCAAAGCAGTGGCCCTGCCTTTTGGGGGAGAAATGGGACATATTTTGGACTTTACTATATAACAAATAATTTAAAGAATTTCACAAAAGTATCTGAAGCAAAAAAGTAGAAAGGTGGAACTAAAGAGTACGAGAAAGTCAAAAGAGTTAAAAGGACTTTAAAGGAACCACAGTAATGAACATTGGACAGAAAAGAAATGCAAGAGGAGATTCAGACCAGAGAGAGAGAGAGAGAGAGAGAGAGAGAGAGAGAGAGAGAGAGAGAGAGAGAGAGAGAGCAAAAAAAGAAAAAAATATCCCACCATCCCAAAACCACCACCAAAAAGCCCTGCAAAAGAAAGCTTAAAAAGGATCAGAGATAAATATACAGAATGAGAGAGGAGCAGCAGCTGCTGGAATTCCAAGGTGACAGGGCAGCTGCCTCCAAGAGAGGAAAGCTGAAGAAGCCAAGAGCCCACCAGCCTCAGGACACCACGGGTGTTCCAGTAGCCTGTCCCTCCACTCTTCCGGGCAGCCCCGGCGGGCAGGCAGGCGGATCATCCCCTTAGGCTCTCATTGCCTAGGCTGGCGCCTTCACCGCGGCCTTCAAACGGAGGCAGCATCCAGGTGTCCAATACCGGCACGCAGAGCCCTGGACCCCACAACAGGACGCCGGGCTAGGCAAGCTTCTAGGTGGGCGCGAGGCCTGAGCGGAGGGGGAGGACATCCGCAGCAGGCAGCGGCAACGGGCCTTTAGGAGCCCCGTGCAGATTCGGAAACGAGCGCGGAGAAGCCCGGAGGTAGGTACCAGGGAGCGGCCTGGGTAGGCGGCAAGGGCTGTGAGCCGCAGGCGGGATGCTCAGCACACTGAGGTGAAGGACAAGGTGGAGGAAGGAGAGGAGCTTTGCCTCGCTTCTCCGCTCTGCTTCCAAACCGGTTTGATAGGGCCACGTGGGGCGCGGGGCGCGGGCAGTTGAGCTTAAGAGTCGCCAGTTCCGGCATTTCGGAAGTCCAAATCCTGTTTCATATCCGCTGCCACACTGCCGCTCTTCCCAACAGCAGCAGGGAACCAGGAGAGCTCAGCACAGCAGCAGGCACCCAGCAAGGTGTCCAGCATTGCCCTCAGGCTCCTGGGGTGGGGTGAGGGCCAGTTAGGGACCAGATCCCTGGAGTGGAGGCATCTAACAAGGGGTGGGCGTGAGTAAGTTGGCCCTTTATCCCCTCAGCTAACTGTCTCGTCCCTCTTCTCCAATGCAGCCATGGACCCTGGCACCAGCACCCAGTATTTTTGGACCACTGAGGCCCAAGGGGAACCCGCAGATGCAGCTGCTGGACATGAGTTCTGTGACAACTACACCAACGAAACTGCAGCCTTGAACAAGGAAAAGCCTAAGCAGAAGAGGCAGAGGAGCAGATGTTCGTCTCTGGCCGAAAGGAACATCGTGGGCTGCAGAATTTCTCACGAGTGGAAGGAAGGGGATGGGCCCATCACCCATTGGAGAGGAACGATTCTCGATCAGGTTCCTCTTAATCCCCCTCTCTATCTGGTGAAATACGATGGGATAGACTGCGTCTATGGGTTGGAACTTCACCACGATGAAAGAGTGTTGTCCCTTAAAGTGCTCTCTGATACAGTAAAACCATCCCCAGTCCCTGATCCTAACCTTGCTGATACAATAATTGGCAAGGTGGTGGATCACATATTTGAGGGTGAGCATGGCTCAAAAGATAAATGGAGGGGGATGGTTCTGGACCAAGCTCCTATCCTTAATGCCTGGTTTTACATTACCTATGTGAATGATCCTATCTTATACATGTACCAGCTTCTGGATGATTATAAAGAGGGCAACCTTCGTATCCTGCCAGAGTACAATGAGATTCCTCGACCAGATTTAAACCTGAAATTTAAGGATGGTCTGATAGGCAAGATTGTGGAATATACCCAAGATGACGGTTCCAAAAGGACTGGCAAGGTGATTGGCAAAGTAGAAGCCAAACAGTCGGTGTACTTCATCAAATTTAATGATGATTTTCATATCCATGTCTATGACTTAGTGAAAAATATCTAATTGGCAAAGTTATGCCACAACTATTGAAATAAAGTTGTCATTTCTAGACTTCCAGAGGCTGCTGCTTTTAAGTGTGTTGGGAGCTCACCATGGGCATATGTTTGCCCTGAGGAATATACACATTTCTGTGTGTATGGCATGCTGTCTGTAAGCACTTTGCCTTGTGGAAAACACTGGGTGTGTTTGGTGGGTGGAGCAGGGAAGGAGGAAACAGCTGTCAATTCAGCCTGTGAGACAAGGGAGCTAGTATCATCTAAAAATGGAATGGGACTTAGCAGGTCTGGTCCTGGGGGGAGGAGGAGAAGGAAATGGAGTTGGGCTGTGGAGGAGAGGACTGCCTAGGGAGAAGTGGAGGGGAGCCAGAGTGAGAGAGAGGCTCCCTGGGGGTGGGACAGAGGGAAGCAAGAAACATGGATTGGGAAGGGCAGGAGGGGTAACAGAGTGAAGAATTCAGACACCTTCTGGCTTTCAGAAAACCATAGGAACTCCTGTAGGAGAATACACACAGCAGGGACACAGGAAGGGTAGGAAAGGTCTGCTGTGCAGGGAGGTCCCTGAGGAGAGCCTCTGAGACTTCAGAGGTCAGGAGGATCCACACATAGGACATAGTACACTCTGAGCTTAACTGGGAGGAGCATGCCAAGAAGAATGGCCTGATGCACCCACCTTCTTCTGTCTGGCACTTCATAGTGGCAATGGTCAGCTGTCAAGCAAGGCACATGTGATAGAGGGTTACTGAATGGCCTTTCTAAGGGCTTACTGGGAGAATGGAAATCAATGTCAAGTTTGTAACTACGTATCAGGCTTGTTTGTTTTCAAGAGAGTCTGACACAGCCTGAAGCCTAAGCAGCTAACAAGAGTTCATGGCTAGCTCTGGGCAAAGGGCAAGTGCTTTCTTTGGGAAAATGGATAGTTGGTGAATCCAGAAATAGCAGTTCTGACACTGTCCTGCTGTCTGGAATACTCCTTGCCTTCCTGGAGGGATGGGGCATCTGATGGCTGTGCCTCATGTCTCCATGGTATAGAGAGAACTTGGCTGTCCATGCTCTGTCACAGCTGCCTGGCTCCATTCAGTGCCCAGGCAAAAGGAAACTGCCCTTCCTTAGGCATCCCATTCTGGTTAGACTCCCTGAAAAGCCTGTAGCAACTGACACCTTCTAGGTATGTCCTTCCCAAACCAGATTCCCCTTCCTTTTTAAACTCATAGCTACCCCTGATGGAGATGTGTGCACCTCTCTTTTGCAAGAGGGTGGTATAACCTAGGCATGGGGGTAGGGCTGGGAATTGTGGCTTCGCCTAAGTAATTCCTTTTGCTGGAACTGCCCTTTGAACGGGCTGTGCTCTGTGGAAAGAAGAATTGAGAATGCCTGGAAAGTGTCTCACAACTGTAGAGTTCAGGACATGGGTCTCTATCCTCCTCTTCTGCTCTCTGTTGTCATTCCCCAACCTTCCAAAGTCCCTCTGAGAACACTGTATGTGCTCTGCCTCCTCCTTCCACTGTTGCCTCCCAAGAGAACTGTGTTTCTGGTTCATGCTGTGGGGGTCTTCCTAAAGACACACTTGGAGCAAGCAAGGATCTGCCAGACACTGAAAGAAAGCGCTAAACCTCATCGATGCTCACCACCAAGCAAGCGTTGACTCTAGATTGATTGCCTCAAGAATGTCACACGACAAGCACACCTCACAAGGGCAGCCTTAGTTGTCTTTCCTACATCATGTGGTTTTGTTCAGACAACACGAGTAGGTCCTTGGGGAGCACTTCTGCTGTCAGCTTCCATGTTTTGTTGGTTGGTTGTGGTTCTGCTGTGTTCTGCATCCAGTTAGACTTGTGGTAAATTCATATCACATAAACATCCTGGGATAGGACCCATCTCCCAACAGGGATACAAGAAAGGAAGGATTGACCTCATTTTAGTTTTAGTTGGCCATGCCTTGGTAAAATCCAAGTCCATGCTTTGGAAAGAGGTTCATTTGCAGCTTTATGGCTAGAGCATGGATACTTGTCTGATTTCATATGCTCAATCCCATAGATTCTTCATTCATTTGTTTTTATCTTCATCCCGTAAACACTTTGGGTGGGCAGGCACTGTTCGGGACATAGAGGTGAGGTCAGTGGATACAGCAGATGAATGGATTTTATCCTCATGGAAATTCCTTTGTAATGTGTCATATCTGTAGTTAGCCATGTAGTTCATAAATCTATGAGAAATACTTTCATATTGATAAGTGATAAGAAAGGACATTCCTAAGCCTGTTTTTGGAAAATGAAGTTTGAAGATAACGCTCCATACAGAGAAACAGAGTGGCCAGGAAAGGTTTCCCAGATCCTCTAGGTTTAAAATGAAAAAATAAAGGTTGTGAGAGTGTGGCCCTTTGGCAGCAGTAAAGGAGAATGTGTATTCCAGGTAGAGTGATGACAGATGCCTAATCTCAAAGAAGACCCGGCACATTTGAGGAGAAGCAGCTGGGATGGCAGAGAGAGTTGGGCATGTAAGGCAGAAGTACGTTATGATTTGTGTTACTTTTTAACAGGAACAGTCTGGTACCTCCAGATAACCTTCTTTATGCTCCTGAAATCAGGAGCACAAAAAAGCAAATATTCCAATGTGAATGTGTCCATAGATGAGAATACATTTTGCACCCAGGAATCGTGCCATAGTATACCTCAGATATCCTTGGAGATAATAATTACTCAACGACTATTCTTTTTAACAGTGTCTAGGAATCTTGGCCCACTCAATGAGGTCTTTGTATCAAATACAATCCTGTGTGTACTAGAGATGAGTCATTTATTTATATTTAGATGCTCACTTACCCAGATGAGTATTCCAGGCTGACAGTGTCCCCAAAGAGGGATGAAAGGCTGAGCCAAAGTAATGTAATTCTCTGGAGCAATATGCCCTTTGTGAATACACTGCTAAGCCTACTGTCTAAATCCCATGAGAAAAGTAAAGTTCCTATCTTTCTATGCCTAGTGTATGAATGTCATTATCCTGCATAAGCTCATAGGGAATGACACTATTAGTAGGTGTGGCTTTGTTGGAGTAGGTGTGACCTTGTTGGAGGAAGTATGCCATTGTTTGGGTGGGCTTTGAGGTCTGCTATATGGCCAAGCCACACCCAGTTTCTCAGTCTACTTCCTATTGCTTTGTGATCAAGATGGAGCGAGCACCATGTCTGCCTGCACACTCCTATGCTCCCTACCATGATGATAATGGACTGAATCTCTGAGCTGTAAGCTACCACATTGTTCAAATATTTTTCTTTTTAAGAGTTGCTGTGGTCATGGTGTCTCTTCACATTAATAAGAACCTTTGCTGAGGCCCCAAGTTATTATTAATATCACCAATAAATTTTCTGCTGTGTTAACCAAGTTCATTGGAGAGTAAAAATATTAACATTCAGCCAGGCATGTTGGCACACAACTTCAAGTCCAACAATTTTGAGGCAGAGGCAGGTGCATCTCTGTGAATTTGAGGCCAGCCTGGTTTACAAAGCAAGATTCAGGACAGCCATGGTTGTATCACAGTAACCCTGTCTCAAAAACCAAAACCAAAACCAAAAAATGTAAACATTATTAATAGGAAGCATTTAGCTATGGCTGCTGAATGAAAACCTTTCTAAAGCTAAAATATATGTTGTCAGCAATTAAGACTTTAACTCCTGCTCTAAAATAATAAGTAATATGGAAAATATGTGTAGTTCAGTCTGGTAAGACATCAGTCATCACTTATTGTTCCATACAGAGTCCAAAGTAATCACCAGGTCCTTCTAAGGTCCCAGACCAAATTGCCCTGCATGGTCTCTGACTCCATCCTTTTCTTCATCTCAAACACAGCAAATGTCAGGAGCAAAACACTTATTTCTTGTAGGTGGTGGTGTTTGGTTATATAAAGAACAAGTAGGACATTTCCTTATAATTTCCTTATAATTTGGTTTGTTCCATGTAAGAGAAAAGTCTTTTTTTTTTAAAAAAAAAAACTTTTCTCATTTACATGATGTTTCTATGGAATTCTGAGGTCTTCATCACATTTCCAATCAATAATTGATCTATTTCTACATTACCTTGTGCTAGAGAACCTGGCAGACCCATATGGGATTGGATGTATGTTATGTTATACAGGATGATGATCATATCTTGTTCCTGAATATTAATGAAGTCAATTCTGTATCACCTGTTATAAATTCAGTGGTTTTAATAGGCAAAACAACTCTTTCTGTAGATTGTGAATCTGTAACTATGTTGAAAGTTTCTTTACAATCCCTTAGTACCATGAGCATAGTATATAATTCTGAATTTTGGACAGAATGATAAGGACTTTGCTCTAGTACTTAAATTCTAGGATTTGTGACCTGCTTTTCCTGATTTATTTGCATCAGTATAGAATGTAGGGGCTCCAGTTATTGGTGTGCCCTGTACAATGCAAGGAAGGATCCAATTAGTTCCCTTTATAAGTTAATTTTCTTGGTTTTGGGTATAGCTTTTGTAAATATCTCTTAAAAATTACTGCAAGTTCTTTGCCAGGATTCCCTTTCTTCCCATAATCTGTCAATTTCATTATTATTAAAAGGTACTATAATTTTACTGGGTCTATTCCTGCGAATTAAAAAAATCTCAATTTTCCTTTTAGAATTAACTCAGAGACCCTTTCCACATAAATTTTAAATTTTTACTTGGTTTATGTGATAAAAAGATCCATTATAAGATAATATCTTTCCTCTGCATTAAAATTTCTGTAGGGGAATATGTAGAGGATAATATGACCATAATGCAGTTAAGATTTGGATCCGCACAATCCATATGTGCCTTATGTAATATCTCTAAAATCAAAGCTAATTCTCTCTTAGTTTCATCTGATAATTTCCTGGGATTATTTAAGTCCTTATCACAATCTAAGGTTTTGTTTAAATTAATCAGTTCATCAGGTTTTATCCCAATAGTGCACTGCAGATGAGAAATATCTCCTAGCAATCTTTGAAAGTCATTAAGAGTCTGCAATTGATCTCTGCT